TACCACCTCGCCCCCTGGCCCCGACCCCAGGTACCTCCGGACCCCCTCGATCTCCCGCCCCTTCCCTGCACCCCTTGCCAGCCCCAGCTCCTCGGTTCTTTGTTTGAGCGTCTCTCTCTGTCCCTCCCTCTCTCCTCCCTCTCTCCTCCTCCCTCCCGCCTGCCTTCCTCCCTTGCTCCCTCCCACCAGCCTTCTCTCCTTCCTTCCTTCCCTGCTCTCCTCCTGGTGGGCTCCCAGGTGGCGGTGCCTGCTCCTCCTCTGTCCACCCACCTGGGCCAGCTGGCTGGGGAGCCTCTGGGCCTGGGGCTGAGTGGGATGCCTCCAGGAGCTGGCCGAGGGGGAGTGACAACAGAAATGCCCTCCCCGTCCTCCCTCTGTCCTCTCCTTCCTTTCTGCTCCTCTCCTCTCTTCTCCTCCATCCCCCAGGCTGCTAAAGAGGCGGCCTGGACTTGGGCCTCAGGCCCCAAAAGACTCGAACCTCCCACATTCACCCCTTTAAAGGGCTAGAGCATTGTGGGAGGTCCTTGTAGGAGCCCGGGAGGGCAGAGCCCTCCACCTCCATGGACACCTTGGGGGACTCCAACACTCCTTGGTGACCCTGACCTTGTCACCATGAACATGGAGGCAGGAGAAGTGAGGCCATGGAGAGGAGGGGAGGGGAGAGAACCGGAGGCCCCCCTGCCCCCCTACATGGGATCAGAGCTCCCTGAGGGACCCCTCCCAGGCCAGGACCATGTCTCCCAGCTTCTTTGAGCCGCACCCCACTGGCAGGTCAAGTTCCTGAGCAAACACATGCCTGTGTGAACATGTGTGGGCCTGCACGTGAGGGTGTGTGTGTGTGTGTGTGTGTGTCCATGATTGTTAGTGGGGCCTCCCGGTGCACCCCGAGGGGGTGTGGCCGCTCAGCCCTTCCCCACCTGCCCCCCTCAGCCTGCCATTCAGCCAGCACCAGCCTGGTGCCCCCCCGCAGGCAGGGAAGGGGCTGGTTCTGATTCTCCCGCCCCCCCCCCCACCTCCCCAGGAGGGAGCATCTGTGATGGGGGAGATTCGGGGGGAACAGAGAGGCGCCAGCTCCCAGGAGAGGGCCTTCCCCCACCCCAGGGCACCCTTGGGGAATGGCCGGGAGGCCCAGGCTGCACTTCCTGTCCGAGGAACCACGAATGGTTGGCCCTGGCAGGAGAGGTCAGGGCTTGGGGATGCGGGTCAGCGGAGGGCACCAGGTCTGCCCAATGGGGCCTGTGGGGCCTCACCCAGCATGTGTCAGCAGGTGCCAGGGACTCGCAGGCCCAGGCCCTCACCCCACCCCAGGGCCCAGCATTCACCTGGGCCTGCCTCCCACGGGCGGAGGGGGGAGACAGAGCGGGTCAGGGGGCGGCTCTCATTCCAAGGTAAGAGGCCGCCCCCTCTGTGCACAGCCCTCGGCCTGCCGCCCGGGAGAGAGGAGAGGTCACCGCAAACAAGGACCACACGTGGGTGGCCTGGGGGCAAGGGGGGACAGGAGGTGGGGGCTGCTGGCCCATGGTCGTCTTGGTGCCCCCACTGCCGGTGCATCTGGGTGGGGGGCGGGGAGTTGGCGCTGGTTTTTGCTGGGAGGGAGCAATATGTTCCGACAACTGGTGCTGGGCTGCGTTTACCCACAGCCAGTCTGCCTGGGGAGACAACATTGGGAAAACATCGCACTGAGACTTGGACCCGCCGGGGGTGCGCGAGTTCTGCAGGGGAATCTGCAGGCCCGCCCAGGCGGCCGCGGGAAGTCCTTCCGTAGGTCTGACCTGGATCCCTCCTGCTGTGGTTTCAGCAGAAGGAGACGGCTCTTCCCTGCCTCTCCTTTCCTGGCTGCTGCGCTCTTGCACTTTGGGCTGTGTACACGGGCCTCTCGCATTCTCTGCTCTTCCGTGCACCGCGCCCCGATAACCAGGTCCAGATTTCCCTGTCCTGGGTGGAGCAGGCCCCCTCTTCCTCCAGTCTGAGGTGGGAGAGGGATGGGCAGCTCGTTCGGTGGGGGGTGGGCTTGAGGAGGAGCCTGTGGGGAGTGCAGTCGGGGCTGGGGCTGGGGCTGGGGCTGGGGGAGTGAGTCCCCAGTGTTCGCCCCCCACCCCCCAGCCCCGTAGCTCTGCTGACCCAGGGCTGCACCTGGCTGCCTGGTCTTCAGGGCCGTTGGTTACATAGACGAGACAGGGACAAGAAAGTGTGTGAGGTTTGAGTATGGGGGCACTCGGGGCCCTGGCCGAGGGTGTGTGAGGAGACATTGTCACCCTGTTTGTTCAGATGGGGGGCTGAGGTCCTTGGCAGAATTACAGGGGGGCTGGGGGCTGTGGGTGGGGCAGGATGCCCCTGTCTGCTCCCACATCCAATCTCGGTTCTGCCCTCCCAGGTGTCCGGACCACTGAGCTGCGTCCTGGGCCCCTGGCCCCTCCCACGATGCCTGTGGCTGGTCTCCTCCTCTGGGCTTCCCTAGTGA